TTTAGATCTGTACATTTCAAAGTGGTGTACAATATGTGTGTTTTTGAAAAGCTAAACCTCATACACAGTACTTACATTATCCATGAAATAGAGGCTGTGTTGAAGACTTGTAAAAGTCAATATGGTTTCAACATACATCCAAAGCAATGGATCCCAATCTTCTGTCCCCAAATGTTCTTGGACTATAATGCCCAGAAATCTTGGCCAACACAGCGAGTGGTGGAGGCTTCTGGGAGTTTTAGTCCAGAAACATCTGAGTTACCCAGGGTTGGGAAGCACTGCTTTAGAGGCTTATGACAGTGAATTCTATTGGTTAATTGTGTGCTGTATGAAAAAATACATCAATTGCTCAGTCCTGGCCATCAGTGGGTGTTTTTGGCTTTCAGTTGTTAACAGAGATGTTACTTATTATGAGATAGATTGCTATATAGCTCTTTGTTTTCCATAAAACATGTGCAACATGTGTGAAGAGTATATAGGCTGAAATCCAGTTGCTGGTCCCAGCTAGATTAGATCCGTTGAATGAGTAGTATTTATATCAATGTTGATTTAACACTGGGGAATAGATCCGTTGAATAGTATTTATATCCATGTTGATTTGACATTGGATCGACTCTACTTGTGACTAGCAGTTGGATTTAGTAGCCATTTGGGCTAATAAATGTTTAGTAGAACATCTGGGGATCTAAAGTTGGGAGCCATTGATCTAAAGCAGTGAGTGAGTGAGTTCTACCACACAAAATGCCCTACTCGAAATCAGAGATGACTTCAATGACTGAATGGGTCCCCAAGGGAGAACATTGCCTTTGTATCCTTCCCTTAGTTGAAAGAACCCAGGGCAGTATATAACAGTCTGCTTTATCTTTATCCCAACAGCTCTTGTATTTAGTTTACAATACAGAGAAAACCTGTTGAAAAGAATCTTGGCACAGGGCAAATGAAAACCAATGCTTTTCACAATTAAATAAAAATGATTTTAAAAATTTAAATGGGCAAAATCTGATTTTTAAAATTTAAATCATGATTTAAATAAAATCCTCCCTGTCTTCTGCTTGATGATGTGTGCTTCTATATTGAAGGGCCATGGCATCTCCCCCACACCCACCAAACTCTTGGATAATTACCTTTTGTTTGTTTGTTTGTTGTTGTTGTTGTGCCATATGAAATCCTCCTCCCTGTTGGGTGAGTTGGGGAGGGGCATCCATGCTATTTTTGAGTGCCATTTGAAATGTCTTGTGAGTACCAGGGACATTTCCTAAGCTGATGCCCGCCCACCCCAGATACGTTGGGCAACACCTCCCATCATCCTCTGTCAACTTGCCACAGCCTTTTTGCCTTTCCTGTGCTAGATGAAAACAGAAAAATATGGTTGATTCTGAATAACAGCAGTAGGTTGATAACCATATAATCACCAATTAGGTACAATCCACACAGCCCGCAATTCTTGCTCCTGCACTTTGATCTGAAAGGGATGGCCTGAAGACGAGAGAGACAGGGAAGTTATTTTTTTTTCATACTGCAACTCTCACGAGTGGTCCAGCCTGTGTGGTAAATTAGCCATGTAAGCTGGACTGCTGTACCAGTTGTTCTCCAAAAAAAGTAACTTGTCCATCTCTAGAATTTGAATAATTTTAATAGGAAAGGTGTTAGAAACGTCAGTTTCAGCATTCTTTCCCTGCTTCTTCCCCCCTCCCCATCCCAATCCTACTCTTTGCCCTTCAGACCCTGCCTAGCGACCTCTTGGTGGTGG